CTTCAAAAACGGTTCCGATTACGTCTCTCCTATCTTCGGCTGGGTTGCAGCCCGAGGATTTATTGTCATGTAGATCGCCCCTCCTTAAAAGAAAACTCAGATCTGTTGCAGTAGTCAACTTCTTTTCTCAATTGTTGTTGACATTATACATTTAGACGGAAATTCAATCATGGATTGAACCGTTTATTTCACGAAGAAGTATACTCAAGGGATGCACAGAAAACATTATTAACTGAAATCAATCGACATTTCTCAATGAATGTAAAATCAGGAACAGGTAATCAACAGGGTCTCACTTGAATGACATTAGACCTTTTTCTCGATTATTAGCCATCCACCCCTCTTTCTATGTCAGATGCAGCGTCGATCCCTCTGAAAATTACGTCAGGTGTGGGTCACCTGTTACTCTGCCCTTTCCGATCAAAATATTCTTACGTCATGACGTCTTTATTTTGACGTCATTTCCGACTGTACAACCGCCCTCCTCCCCCATCGCCAGGTTCACATCACGCACCCCATTAAGACCTTTCATCTGTTAGGCCAGGGTGTCTACAAGTCCGGAATTTCCGGAAAGTCCGAAAATGGTACTGATTTTTCAAGAGCGGTCCGGAAGTACTGAAAAAATGCGGAAATTTTGCAAGAAATTCAGGAATTTTTTGCATTTTTGTCGCAATTTGAGCGGGAAATTCAAATTTTTGAAATTTTTCGAATTTCGTCAGTTGAAGGTATTGAAAAAGTACCGAATTTTTCTGATAAGGAGGTACTGAATTTCTTGGGAATGTAATGAAAAAGTACCATTAAAGTACTGATTTTTGGCCAGCCTGTTTTAGTAGATACCCTGGCTAGGCTGACTACCGGAATTTAGCCATGACTTAGAGCCTATTTATGCACGCGATTTTTGTCGCCGTGTCGCCGGCGACAACGAATCGCGCGATTTCAAACTACACGGGTGGCTATGGAGCCGTTTATGCGCGCGACAGCCAATCGCGGCGGCTAAACTGCCGCGGCGATTTCTAGATCATGTCGTTTGTAGTTAGAAACCGCCCGGCGATTTCCTGCCGCCCGCGGTTTGTAACTACACGGAGTCATATGAGCGCATTTATGCGCGCGACAAGTTTCGGCGATCGCCGCTTGGAATTGAACTTCTCGAGCACGTGTTTTGGACCTTTTGCGCTCCAGAAAAACGGTGTCGCGGCGGCAGAAAAAAGGTGTCGCGGCGACAAAAATATGGATCGCGCGATTCAAAAAAACGTCGCGGCGACAACTGCCGCCGGCGACACGGCGACACGAATCGCGTGCATAAATGGGCTCTAATAGTCACAGAAATCGCAATAACCCTGACAAAATAAGGCTATCCGTAATTTTTGATCCCACATGCCCTAACATATGACACTCTGCTCGCCTAATATTTGGGTCAACCCAGTTTTTTCTTCTTTTCCCGTCTCCTTCAAAAGTAGCGAGAACAAGAGCCAATTGGCGCACCACCCTCACCGCCGTCAAACCGGTATCTCACCGCACGACGATCCAGTCCGCTCCGCGGCTAGTTCCAACATTGCCTGATCGCATCATAAAATATCCATTTTTTACATAATTTTATGGTGGAAACTACCAACTTTTCAATACAATCCGCCGACTGCGGAGAGTTCCCACCGAGGCATGACGTCATCGAGCAACCGAGATTTTTAGCCCCACTTACCACCGGAGCTGCCGCGATGCTCGGCGCGACTAGGATTTCATTGCACCGTGCGAGCAGAGATTCTGCAGTCTGGCAACAAGGCTTACGATTTGCAGTCAACGTTGCCGTTTTGTCGATTGGAGTACGGATTTTACGGTGGAAACTGCGGTTTTTCGAGCGTGTTCGGCGACCCAGCTCGCACTTCACACCGGGCGGTGGTTCAATAACCGAACGTTGCGCCGTGCTGCCTGCTCGTTGTTCGTCGTTAATTTCATCCATTTACTGGATCGGAGGAAAAGGGAACGTTTTCACGGAGAAAAACTTTCTCGGATTATACATATGTGAGGCACTCAAGTTTTCGTTCGTGGAAATCGAAATTCGGTTCCGGCAAACACGGATTCTGGTAGTCCTACCTACTAAGAATTGTACTTTTCACGGAAGACTTCGATTACACCGCACAACAGATTTCGGGTTTTGGTCTGTCCTTCGAACCAAACCATTTTACGCTCTTTTTGATGAGCTTTTTTTCTTCTCAACAAACATTCTTTTCTCAGAAAATCGCGGCTGGAGATATGAGCCAAAGTTTCTCCAAAAATTCGCCTATTTCAAGCTAACTTTTTATGAAAACATTAATCTTTTCTCAAAACCCTTGCCACATATCCTTCATCGTCGCTCAGAAAAGGCTAAGAAACGTTGCATTCAACAGATGGTCAAGAAAATGTTTCGAATAGAGATTTTGGTTTTTCAACAGGTTGCTTAGCACGCCAATCATCAACCATCGTTATCCGAGAATTGGTCTAATCCTCAATTCAGTACGAACTGATATATACTGCTTCAGACCTCAGCCTTCGTTATCCCAGAATTGGTCTAATCCTCACTTCAATACGAACTGACACATACTGCTCCAGACCTACGTCACAGGCAGAAATAGATTATTTAACAACGGTCGAATCAGTTCTATTCAGTAGCATGGGAAGAGGTTTTGGTTCTATTTATTTGTATATAATTCGATGAGATTGATGACCACCTAAATTTAGAGTCTTCGCAGTGAAGCCACATCTAAACCAATTTACAAGGAAACCAATTTATCAGCACCAATGTAGGGTTTTTATCTCGGGTACCTCTTTTTGGTGTGACCTTACAGGGTGTCTAGCATCAGGATTTTCCCGATTTTTCTGATTCTATCAGGATTTGAAGGTCTATCAGGATTTAATTCAGATTTCATCAGGATTTGAAGAAAAATCGGTCGTAAAATCAGTATTTAAGAAAAGTCAGCCGTCCGATCGGATTTTTTTATCGAGCTATTTTTGTGAAGTTACATTTTCTCCGCAAAAAATCAGGATTTGATCAGGATTTGGAAAAATTATGAACTCAGGATTTAGCAGTCAAAAATCAGGAAAAATCAGGATTTCCCAAAATGAAAAAAACTATACACCCTGTTAAATCCTGCAAGATGATACTTAAATTCTTATTTCAACGGACATGAATCCCTAAAACCTAACCTTGCTAATCCCAATAGCTTTACTTTCGATTCGTAACTTTTTCTAACCTCCCGAAAGCTCGGACTCGTATTTGCGGTGAGGTTTGACAATCTCGGCCGAGCGAGTCTGGATCTAAAAGTAAATCTGGGTAAACCAGTTTTTGCCCTCTTCTTTTCCCGCGCGGCACGGCTCGACTTGCATTTGGGCTGTACGGATTTACGGCTTGCCCATTACTACGACTACTTCTTTCGGTTGACACTTGATGGCGTGTTTGTCGGCTGTTGCCCTCGCTCGAGTCGCGTCGCACTGTAGACCCCAGAGGCGTGGCGTGCTTTGCGATATATCGACTGATCTGTCATTTAAACCTATGGAAAAGGATCGATAAACAGGGTATTCACAACGAACCCCTTAATAATCGATTCTTTACAGTAGGTTTAAATGGCAGAACAATCGATACATCGCAATTCACGCTCGTAGATCCCGCTGGAAAATCCTCCGACCCACACCGAGCGAAAATTCTGCTTAGATCAAAAACAGCGTCCATTGAATAATTCCAAGCTCTAAGTTTCCAGTTCTCGAGAATAATTAAAGCGCTTCAAGCAGAAAGGAACCAATTCACATCAGCTATTGCCAAATTTAATCGGGAATTTCAGTTTTTTTACATGAAAGTTTCGCAGATTTTATTGCGAACTGAAGTGGATTTTCTGCATGTTACGAAGCGAATTCTCTAACATTTTCAAAGAAATCCGCACGAACGTTCGCTTGTGAAAAACTAAATCGCCCAATTAAATTTCTGATGGCTGATGTGGCTGGGTTCCTATCTGCTATTCGCGTTCCAATTCTGGTTGGGATGGAACTAATGTAAAAGGGAATTAATTCGAATTTTTCGAGGAAGAAGAGGTCTGTTTCGCCTCGAACGCCGACCGGGTCATGGGCTCATGGGAGACGGTACCGGCGCGTAGGTGCGCGTAAGAACTTGTTAGCAGATACACAGAGATCCATTGGGAATTAGATGGTTTCTTTTTGCCAAATGCAAACCTCGTATCATGAGTTCGGCGAAAAGGAACCACACGGCACCTATCTGCCAGCGAGTTCTAATAGGCTTTTTCGTGCCGTTTCCCAGTATACACGATATCGAAACCGAGACTGGGCATTTGTCAAAAAACTGACAATACGAGCTCCTATTTCCTCGCAAACTCTGGTCATAAAGTAACCCAGTCGTTTTGAAAATAAATTTTAAAAGTGATTTAAAAAATTTCCGGTCGATTGTGAAATAATATCTGTTCATTTGAAAGGAACTTTTTCACGGGCAATATTCAAGTGAAGTTCCTTTTGATTCTAATTTGATTTACAATTGATGATGAGTTTTCTCGTCATACAAAGTAGATAGTCCATCTTTTCTAATATTCTGGATTTTTAATCGTAACTTGGGGCCGTCTGCAAATTCTGGAATGCAACTTGGGAGGAAACGGCCACTACTAGACTTGTGCGTGCGTTAACGAGATGGGCTCAAACGTCAAAATCAGTTTGACCTCTGACATCTCAAGTTCCACATGTCATCAATCTACTCAGAATTATATCTTCCTTTCACTTTCTCCCCTTCTCCTCCGTATTTTAATCCTCTCTCGTTTCTTCTATCCCTCATTCTCCCTAGCTCCTCCCTAGGAATGAAAATCAATCTTGAAGACCTCATACCGCATAGATTGTTTTTCTTTTTGGTGCACCTCACATGAGATGGCTCCAAGACTACAGAAGATCAATATTAAACATTTAAAGAAATATTCGTGTGAAAATTAATGCTCCGTTAAATAATGATAATAATCAGAGTATCGCTTCTGTTTCAGCAATTTTTTCCAGCTGACATGATGGACCTTTCGAATCACAACGACTTTTTACTGTCGAAAAGCAACTCTTCCATCCTTCATGTAAGTACAGTTCTATTCCAGCACTGTGTTTTAATTTTGACACATCAGCTTAAGAACCGCCTTTTCGTGAAGATGTCTTTCTATCAGATTATTTTATTCGACCTTACTTAGGTAAGGTCTTTCTGAAGAGGATGCAAAATCAGTATACTAGCCACTAAACTAGTTGATCGTTGATTGTTGAATTGCACGCTCTTTAACGCGTCATTGATAAGGTTTAACCTCATTACTGACGTCATTTTGGGTATCAGTTTCAACCAAAGTGTGCAACCATCGATTGTATTTAGTAGCTACTTAACTGTATAATTTCAGAAAAATAAAGAGTGAAACGAAAGAAACGAAATGAGCGATAAGAAATAAGTCCTCGCGAGTATTGCATCAAGAGAACCACTATCGAAAATTAACACATTTTTCTCTCAGTGATGTTAATGTTTTTGCATCTCATCTCAATTAATCAGTGGCCGATTAAGTAATGACACGGTTCATATATGTGCAAAATCCCTCACGTAATCGCCAGTTCTAACAGTCATAATAATTACGTGATCTGTTCAGACGCATTGTCTTCTCAAAATCACTCCTCATCAGGAAATTTTTTTTTAATCTCTTGCGATGTAAGGAATACCCGCATGATATTGATGAGCTGTGAAGAAGTAGGACTGTAGTGTCGACAATTTGTACCAGTTTTTGACCCATTTGCCATTTCCCGGATTAAAATTATTCTCATTGAAATCTTTTGGTAAAGGCCGACGAGAAACATGGTTTTAGGTCCCTGGTAAAAATTGGCAGTAGAATCTGTGTCCCAAAATACCATAGACCTAAAGCCGGCTGTTAGATTTCCAGTAGCTTCTGTATCCGGCTATACAATTTCTTTTAGCATTTTATAGGCGATGGCGACTAAGCAACAGCCAGACGATAAAGTTTATGTTAAACGTTACTAAATACGGATACTAGGACTTAGTTAGTTTTTGGACCACCGCTCTCTTTTTGTGCCGTAGTATCTTGATTTATTTTGCGAGGAATGTTCCTTACTTTTGAAGGAACATGTTTGAGCGCCTTCAATTTCTTATTATACTGTGCAATACCTTTGGTGTGAAATAGTTGCTTCAAGCGCCGTGGCACGCTGCGGCGTGGCGGGCAGGCAGAGAGCGCAAAACGCGCTTTGGCGCCTTCAAACCTGACAGGGATACTTCACGCATTGCGCAATGCGTGGAGTATCCCTGTTAGGTTTGTAGGCGCCAGTGCGTCGCCGCTCCGCTTTGTGTTAGGCTCTAATATTTAGTCTCGCGGAGTCAGCGTTTTTCAACTCATGATTTTGAAATGTTTGCACACTCTGTATGGATTATTCTCATTTTAATTGATGAATAAAAAAATGTTTTAAAGGAAAATATAATGTGTGTTATGTAAATATTAAGGTGATTCCGTATCAAACTTAATGATTTCCAAAGCACACGAATTTCTACACAATTTCTTATAGCCTTTTATAGTCAATGGCGATAAGTGTAAAGCCCGGCGATAGGAACTATAGCTCGACTGTATACTTTTTTATAGCTTCGTATAGCCCGGCTATATGATTTGCTCCGCTCTCTACAGCCAGCTATATGATTTTCCATAGCCTTCTTTAGTCGGCTTTAAGAACTCCTATGGTATTTTGAAACGCAGCTCCTATCGCCAATTTTTACCAGGGGTTGTTCGAGGGAAAATAACCAGGCTCCGATCATGTTAAATCAGTAAGTTCGCCTCATATCGAACTCTCTCAAGTCAAGAGTCAGTTATGTGATCAACTTAATAACTATCAACTAAAAATCAACCCCTCGGAATATCCAAACGCACGTGAAGTACATCGTCTACGCTTGGAGTCGTTTTAAAGTTACATCTGAGGGATCTCGAATCGCGTGAAACGCTCGGCCGAATCTTCGTTTATTGTTCACTGGAAAAAAAAAAAAAAAAACACATTGGATCTAGAGTCCAGACTCTTGAAAACATTGACAAGAAAAAGGACTCTTGATTCAATCAGATTTAAGCTTACTTAAATCAAAAGAAAATCCGCTCAAATTAAAAGACTTGGTTCTTGATTTAAGCTTGAATCTGATTGAATCAAGAGTATTTTTTCTTGTCGATGTTTTTAAGAGTCTGGACTCTAGATCCAATGTGTTTTTTTTTCCAGTGCTCCGAGTACACCGGCAGTTCTTGTTGATCATGGCCGTCAGAATTTTCTAGGTTTCTCACGGTAATCCTTAACGTAGGAATTATTTTTTTTTGGTTTTGATAACTAATGATACTCTTCTTTTCCTTTCCAGAATTTTTTGTCCACTTTAGATGACTGCCCCGCAATATTCAGTCAAATTTGGCTAAGAGAGCCACACAAACACGTCTGGGCCAAAGCATTTCTCCTCCTCAAAGGAAACAAACTGTACATGTCGTATAAAGTAAGTTTTTATCCATTTCATTCAAGGAAAATTCATTTAGCGCAATAGAAAACCGTTCATGTCAAACGTTTCTCTTACATTTTGTTCGAGTAAAAAAAACCCTCGCCTAATTTCTTGACCTCCAATTTTTTTTTTTTTTTAAAAAAAAAAAGAAGAGGAAAAAGAAAACAGGGCGCCGAAAATTAAGGAGATGAGTGCCACAACCGAGATCCCCATAGGGCATACGCGGTTCTAGTTTAGCATAACTCGAGAATGCTGTCGTAGAGCGGCAGGGCGGAGGGGGGGGAGGGGGGACCGAGGCGTCGAATTTCGGCCCAACGCTCGCGAATCCGAGAGAGTCCCGAATGCTGCCGTGTTAAGGAAAAACACCGTATGAGCCATCAGACGTTGCCAAATTTCCTTCGAAAATCAATGAATTTTCAAGAAAATTTGTGCATATCTCTCCTCCGATTTTTCGCAGCATTTTGTTCGAAATTCCATCTAAAAAGTCTGAAAATTTCAAGGGAAAATATTCACGAATTTCTTCAAAAATGTATATTTTCTGAGAGGAAATTCGGCAACACCCGAATGCTCGTACGGCGTTTTTCCTTAGCACGGCAGAATGCCACGCTGACTGCCAAGATGCGTGTATTTCGGTGACTGCAATTCGATGGGCCCACGGGCAAGCGTGCGAGGGAGGCTTGCAGTCCCCCCCCCGCCCCTGCGGTAGCGCGTGCTTTCAGCGTGCCGTAAGACCGGGGGAACGAACTCCGATAAGACTTGACGCGCGGCAATAGGTTTCGGAATATTAATTTCAGGGGACGCTCTTGGGGTCCGAGTGGACTCCTCTTCGTGGCCGGACTCCAAAGCCGCGGATCCCGCGGTCGTAATATCTCGCAATGGATCGTATTCGATAGCGGTTCGATGTATCGTTTGGTTCAAAACAGTAGAACATAGCCCCGAACAAAATTTTCGGATTTAAGTTGGAAAAACTGAAAATGAGACAATTCCTCACAGTTTCATTTTTCATCGCCATTTGATGCTCGAAAAAAGAAAAAAATCAACCACCAAAGACAAGACCCGTTCCCTTCCCTCAGATTTCTAAATGGAGATGTTGCATGTGTGAGGAATTTTCGATTTGACTGTTGATTCTTATGTAAAAGTTTGCGAGAAGCACGATGGTGCCACTGGTTTTCTCTGAAATCAACTCACAAGCTCAAAGTAAGCTCTCAAGTTGAGGCCAAAATGGAGGGAATATCCCACGCTAGCCTGAGAGTCCACCTCTACATCAAAACAAACTCTCCATGCAAAGATAGGGAGCAAATACATTGACAGGGCTGCCACTTTATTTGAGGACTCCATAACTGAAAACACGGCAACCCTGATAGTGTATTTGCTCCCTATCTTTGCATGGAGAGTTCGTCTTAATGTAGAGATGGACTCTATGGATAGTGTGGGAAATCCCCTCCATTTTGGCCTCAATTAAGAGCTTTTTTTGAGCTTGGGAGTTGACTTCAGAGAAAACTAGTGTCATCATCGTGTTTCTCGCGAACTTTTACATGGGGATCAACAGTCAAATCGCAAATTCCTCACACATGCAAGATCTCCATTGACCTCTACATGCGTTGAACCAATCGATATCGATACAATCTCACCATTTTATTCTATGGAATACGACCTATTTGAGTTTTTACTTTATTTCTCTGAGGAAGAAAAAGTATCACACCGATTCGAGAACTCTCTGATTTGTCTTTATCATTATATGGCAGGGTTTCCGGTGGTCTGGAAAACTTGGAAAGTATCAGGGAATGGCAGGGAATTCACGGGTACCTGAAAAGGTCAGGGAAGGTCAGGGAGTCTAAAGCAAAAATCAGAAAATTTCGCTAGCAGAAGTTAGCATAACTAAAAGGGGGAAAATTTTAGTGGGTGATTTGTTCAAAGGCCAGGGTATCCAAAAATTATAAAGTCCGGATTCCGGAACCCCCTTTTTCTGAGGGCAACCCCTTCACTTAAGCAAGTCCTCTCCCGTACCAAAATCCTGGCTACGTACCAGACGTATTCTAGCTGTGCCTCATTTTTAAATTTAAGTAGAAGAATTTTGTAAGATCCTAAATTCTTTTGGAATTCGCCATAATTATTGTTCAATTTTTACATTACTTCGAGGAAAAAATATTACTCCTTGGCGTCGCTCCGTTTTCCATTCCTCCAAACCCAGCCCAGAACATGATCAGGAACTCGGGTCGCGAACGTCGAAATTCATCGATTAATGTCAGAATCTCGCTTCTGAAATGGGAGCACATCATCGTGACGCTGAGTCAGCCGCAATTTTTTTTTTATATGTATTTCATTTTCTAGGAACATTTTTCCGCATCGGGACGGGTGTAAAAATTGGGTACCACCCTCAATTTCCTCGCCTTGAGTTTAGTGCCCGCGCGGTTCAAACATTCATAAAGTTTTATGCCTCTGCTTATTGACCCATTTAAACCCCCCGACACAATTTTGAGTCCTGAGCAGCATTACTCCTTTCACTCTGACAAAATGAGCTGCAGCCATCCCCGCCCCCCTCCTCCTCCCCCGCTCCTCCCCGAAGAGGAATGAGACAGCCAAAGAGGACTTAGCCTCCCACTTATGTTCCTTATTCAGGAGACCGGGCACCACGAAAGTGTCATCTACGCGGAGTTGTCGTTTCGATAAAAAATGGTCCAAATCAAGGCGCATGATTTAGTGCGCTGGGGTCGTAATTTTCGGTCGGAACGACGGCTTAGGATCCGTCAAACCGCTAGATAAAGCATTTTACATTCGAAGTGTTGGCACGGCTCCGAGGCCATAAAAATCGGGTGACAGGGCACTTTCAAATGTAAGCTGGCGGGACGCGGCGCTCATAAGTCTATGGCTGGTGTCGGATCGATATCCGTATCGAATGCTCGGCACTACGCGGAGTCGTCCACAACCTAGTTGCCAGGTAGTCGACTGGATTCAGGGTTTCAGTGGTAAGGGAGGAGTAGTGACGGATTCAGGGGAGGCGCCATCATGGTATGGCTCCTTCCTCGCGAAGAAAAACGGAGTAGAAGATAAGGTTGAAATGGTCAGGAAAAGCAATGGGGGTCAGGATTCAGGAGTAGAGTCATGATAATTTGGACGTATTTCTGCCAAAAGGAACTATGTGCATCAAGGCATGAGCCCTGTTATGCATATATTCATATTGGTCTCAGGACTCATGTCTCAATGCACATACCTAGTTCTGTTCGATAGAAATACGTCTATTTAGCCCCCTAGTTGAGTAAAAAAGGGGGAATTAACAGTAAAAAGAATAAGAGAAAATTTTCAGGAAAAAGCAACGGGGGATTCAAGAGTGGGGCCATTTTGATATGATCCCTTTTTTCAGAAAAAAGGGAGTTGAAACTAGAAAGAACAAGAAAAAGGAAAAAATCTGGAAAAAGCAGTGACGGATTCATGATGGTATGGCCTCTGAGTAAAACTAGGGAAGAAAGGGTGTAGAAAGAACGAGTAAATGGGAAAAGAGGGAGGGAATGGAGACATAGAAGGAAGAGGAGCAGGAAAAAGGGATAGTCAGAGAGAAAAAGGGAAAAGTAGGGAGATTTTGGGGAAAAGCGGATAAAGTGAGGGAAAGAGAAATAAGGGAGGAAAAGCGAAAAAAGGTAACAAAAGGAAAACTATGGGAAAAGTCTCAAGCGCCATCAAGTCTTGCTAAAATTGTGCACTGTGTCTCTCCCTGTAAATTTACTTAAAGCCTGTACTTGATGATTTTATTATTGGGAAATGTTCTCTAAACGTTAGCCCTATTTTCATGAAGTGAATCTCTTTCCTCAGATCCCGGAATTCTTGTTAAATGAGTGACACATTTGCACAATTTTAGTGACACCCGATGGTGCTTACTTAGTATTGAATTTCTCCTATTCAGATAGTGAAAGTAGACTCAGGATTGCAATGCAATAATTTCATGGGAAAACCAGGGCGTTGTTTTAAGGTTACATCAGGGGTGAATTTTTATCAGGAAGCTGCAACATAGCTTTGTACATCGAAGCTCACTATTTTCCATACAAGTTTTTCATAACATTCGTACAGGCGCGTTGTATCTTATATCAACAACACCTATTCGAATTACATAAGCTGATTGGGAGTGTATAACACTCATGTTCTCAACGCAACAGAATACTAACGTGGGCTTACACAGTTTTTAAAAGCGCGAACCCTTTGCCTTAATTGCTCCACAAATCGTTTGAGCCGCAGCCTTCGCGTGCGCTCCTTTGTTCTATGATCTGTTCGCCATGTCATGTAATCTTTTTTGCCACTAAGCCGGGGATTTGCTCCAATACTGCCGTGCTAAAGAAGAATGCCGTATGAACATTCGAGAGTTGCCAAATTTCCTTGGATAAAATGTTTATTTTTGAAGAAAATTGTGAATATTCTACCTTGGAATTTTAAGGAACTTCAGGTGAAATTACAAACAAAATTATGACGGCTTATTTATGTAATGGCTGAGGCGGATCCAGCAATTTGGCAACATCGGATTTCCTCCATTTGAACTCATGATGAATATCGATTCTTGTCGGAGCACCTAGCCTCTCTAACAATAAGAATCGATACATTTCCATAGGTTTTAAGGGCAAAAAACAATGTTGCCAATTTGCTGGATACGCCAATGATAATTGGAGGAAAAATATTCCTAAGTTTATCAGGGAATTCTTGTTTTATCAAAGGAAATTTGGCAACGCCTGAAGCTTTATACGGCGTTCTTCTTTAACACAGCAGGATAGCTGAGCTCTTGAGAGCTGTGGGTCTGGGTTGGCGTCCTTTGCGATGTATCGATTGATCTGCCATTTGAAACTATAGAACAGGATCGATAAACAGGGTGTTTGCAATGAACACATTTTTATCGATTCTTTATTATACCTTCAAAAGGGGAAATATCGAGTATCGATCATTTACGCCTCGCCACTGCAAGATCAAAGATGGTCGCGCTGAACGGATGAAGATAACGCTTCTGAAACCGCCGTGACAAAAACCACCGCTCCCAGAACTATTTTAGCTTTCGGCAACGATGATGAATCGCGATGCAGTTCTATTTCGAGAGCCGCTAATTTTACTGTCAGGTTCGAGGGTACTAATCTTCGAATCGATCTCTTTTGCAGTGACTCAAAAGTATGAAAGAAAAAGCAATTTGCATCGCCAAATTGTCACGTATTTGTATAGCATGATGTAATATCTGTGTAACGCCCCGCTGGCAAAATTGCCCAGTCGCGGACCGAGCGAATTTTTTGGCCTGTCTGACAACTGGCCATCCCGAGTGACCCGTCTGCAGACTGGCTATCCCCGTTGTCCAGTCCGCGAACTAGCCGACGTTTTTGCCGAATCCGTGAACTGGCCAATCAGTGGCCAATCAGATGGCCGGTCTGAAGTCTGAGAATTACGCCCACAGGCTGTCGTTAATTTTAGCTGCAATCCGGGAGGACCGACTTTTTGTGGCGATTAGGCGTCGCAGAGCGCCGGAAAGGGCTGTGAGAGCAACTCGTTTGTATGTATGAAAAATACGATGCAATTCATGAACATTTACAGGTTACATGAATCAAGTTTAAAATTAATTTTTCAATTTTTTTAGGTTTTTTAAAGAAAAAAAATAAATAAAATAAAATTACGAGTTTTTATGCAAATCCAGTATCCGAGTAAACAAAACCGATCAATTGAAATTCGTTTATCGAGGAAGAGATGAATGGAACTAACAGGAAGAAGATAGTTTACTCTACAAAATATGTATTTTTGAAGAAACTTATGTGTAATTTTCCCTGAAAATTTCAGACATTTTTGATATAATGGCGATCAAAATCGTCTGATATAATCGAAGGAACTTGTTAACAATTTTCCCGGTAAAGTCGTTATTTTTGAATGAGATATGGCAACGTCTGGAGGCTCATACGGCTTTTTTCCTTAGCACGGCAGTGTAGGATGGCGAAAAGAGGAAGCTTTGGGAGCTTAGAGCTTTGCACGACTGATAGAAATGCATTTACGTCCGCACTTGGATGGATCGTGACAGTAATCGCGCGAAAAGATGTCGCGTTAGATTGACGTCAGAGGAATGCGATGTATTGCGCCAAAGTTCAATTTGCCTACCTACCTGTGGAGTAAGCCTTGCTGGCTGCCCGTGAGTCATTCGTCATCCTTAACGTCATTTTGTCAACTTGAAGAGCTCTTATTCTAGTGTAGAAGCCCAGCCGTCAGAAGGAAGTAAAGATAAAAGTCGGAAAAAAGGATACAAGAAGGTGAAGTAGACTTTTGGTACTTGATCTTGAGTTTTACCCCTTCCGAAGGCTGAAACCTCTGGATAGGCATGCAATGTAAGATCACTAACTTGGACGCCATAGAATGAATAAGGCACAGTAGTTCAGCTAGACATTTTCTTCATCTCTAGATGTCTGAAAGTAAGCTACAGACTCGGTCGATTTAAGAAAAATATTCGTCAATTAACAAAAACTAACGACAACTCCCATGCATCTCTGCAGAGGTGAGGAAACCTAAAGCGCCTTCAATTTTGAACACGCAACACGCACATCCGTAGGACACGAATAGTTGCATCAATAGCCTGTGTCTTACTATCAAAGCTAACCATCAAAATATCAAGGTCAGGTGTTGTGATTGGCTTATACGATGACTTGGACCAATCACAGCACTTGATCTTGACATTTTGATGGAGTATTTTGATAATGTGACACAGGCTGATGCGCCACAACCAACTCACTGTCACAGCCAAAAACAATTAAAAAAAACGTAGGAAAAATTCGTCAATTAACCAAGTCCTTCTGGTTGATCACTCCCCAAAAAAGTAACTCAAAATAACCCATAATACATAATGCACAAACACTGAAATTTTTACTGCATGTGCAGCTGGTTCCGTTGTTGGTCGGTTAATTTCCTGACTTGCTCGAAATTCCATTCCTGCAAACTCGTGCAGGAGTTAGAGCCCCGAGACTGTAAGATTTCTGCATTTGAATTTTATTGGTCCCTCAATTAGACCCCCGCCGTCGGAGGGCTCCGGATTACGGCGGGTCGAATCCGAAAGCAGAGCAGGATCGGAGTCATTAAGTGCGGAGGGGTTAAAAATAATTGTCATCGATCATTACCGAATGGCAATTCGGCAGTAAAAATTTTACTATGCCATTCGTACCCCGGCTGTTATTAGAACGGTGCATAGCTCTGCTTCGTGACCGAGCGGCATAACTAGACGCCCGTCTGACGTGCTTCGCGATGTATCGATGTGTCTACCTTTCAATTGTGGAAAAGGATCGATAAACAGGGTGTTCCTTTATAATCGATTCTTTACCGTAGGTTGAAATGGGGTAAATATCGATAATCGATCATTGACGCCGCGCCACTGGCCCGTCTCCCGTCGCAGATGCGCAAAAACCTATTAATGGATGTACAATATGCGAAATTTTAATGCTCTGCATTCCTTTCCGCTTTTATTTGCTTGAGATTACGACTTCTAAACTGCGCCGTGACTCCTGTCTAGTGACATTACTTCGTCTGTCGCGGGTTTGCGGGATCCCTTCCGAAACCATGACCCCACACCCACGCTGTGGTCGTGCATAAATCTAATATGTATAACTTCATCATCAATGTTTCGATCAGTTAGTGAACTTCAGCGATATAATTTAAAATAGGAGGTTTTTCGTGAGTGTAGAGTGTGGAGGCTTCGGAAAACACCTAATCGATTTTAGAGTATTTGTTGAGGAAACAAGATGCATCTTCAGTGACTCCATATCTTCATCTATTATAATAAAACTTCATCATAGTATAACTTTATCATCAATGTTTCAATCAGTTAGTGAACTTTAGCGATATAATTTAAAATAGGAGGTTTTTTGTGAGTGTAGAGTGCGGAGGCTTCGGAAAACACCTAATCAATTGTAGAGTATTTGTTGAGAAATCAAGATGCATCTTCAGTGACTCATCTTCATCTATTATAATATGAACTTTATCTCATATTTTTTAATCAGATCGTTGATTTCAGCCGTATAAAGAGAAGTAAGCAGTTTTTTCGTGAGTGCTGAGTGCAGGCTTCTTTGTAAAGAAATCGATTTTCGAATAACTGTTGGGAAAACAAGGTACATCTTCATCGGTTATGCTATATTTGCTACCTCCACTATATTCAAATGTTTACATAATCTCAAAATCCACGGAGATCAGTTTTCGTTATCTCTATCCCTCTAAAATGGTGGCATCCGAGGTGCTCAGTTTTGCTAAAAAATTGATTTGCATACACACATATGGAAGGGTCGCTTTTAAAGCGTTCTGCAACGCCTAACCGCCACCGACCTCTATCCTCCCAAAGCTGCTTTGGAAGCTGGTATTCACTCTTCTTGTTCAACCCTTTTTGCCGCCTATGTCCTGAAAGTTAATTTTCTGTTTGAAAAATCTGTTTTTCTACAAACTATTTTTTAATTCAATGGTTCTTCATCCCATTGTCTCGCATTAATTACATTTTAACTCTTATGAGAAAAGCGTCATCCATAAAATTCGTCCAATTTTTCCCAAATAAAACGGTGTAGGCGTATCAAGCCGGATGAGCTTTGTTGCATCAATTATTTGAGCTACATTTTGCAATTTGGACCTATAGATTCTAGCCCGGTTTAAAAACAACGTATGTGCCATTAGTTTCCCCATGCACGTAAGTGTTTTTCCAGAAGAATCAGAATTTATAGTTCCAAATTGCAAAATGTAGTCCTTAATTTAATTCCGATGTTGTAATCGTTTATCTTACTTTTTATAGCTCTAGATACTATGATTTCATATTTCGTCCAATCAAGTAAGCACTTCAATTTAATTTGTTCGCAGGTTCAAGTGGTAGCCAAATTTCTCAGACACTGGAACAGTAGTGTTAACTGTCTTCTGAATATCAACAGACAATCAGAATCACCTCCACAGGTAAGACAATAATATTATTTGGCGCATTTTTCGCCGCGCTGCCGCTTTGTGTCTGGCGCAATGCGTGGAGTATTCATGCAGTCTTGAAGGCGCTATGCGTTTCGCGCTGACCGCTGCCGACCTTACTGTGTTTGACGCAATGCGTGAAGTATCCATGCAGTCTTGTAGGCGCTTACTTGCCGACCGCCGCGCCGAGGACTTCTCCTTTTCATCTCGAGTCCTCGTTATCATTGCTTGTGCCGCGCCGCTCCAGGCCAAATTTGGAGTTTGGTTTCTCTCTTAACTCGAATAATTAAAGGTGCTGTCTCTTGTATCACCGATAGACGACAAAATTAGAAATTACTATACTCTCAGGAAATGAGAGATTTTGTCGCCTGCAATGTCGGAATGCAGTTAAGCTCTTTCGTGTGTTTCGTGAACTGTGAATTTCTTGGGATACCAGCGGGTTGATTATTGAAATTGATAGACAAGTTGGTAGAAAAAGGAGACAAAAGAGAAATGAAGCGATCCTATCGTCGGTTAAAAAGGATGGTTCTTAAAAACTAAGAGGGGGGGGGGATTTTTGACTAACTACGAGATCTCTCGTGGGTTGCCGTTAGTCCGTCTATCACTTATCTTCTTTGTCCAGCTGTCCTTTTCCACCAATATATAGAGTAGCTCCATTTTCTCTCTGTCCTTGTTGTCCATCGCTTTGTCTACGAATTTCAATTATCAGGTTGCAAGCGGTGTATTTCTTGACGGCCGGCGAGGCAGCAGGAGCACTGCCGTGAGTGACTGATGATCGAAAGGCTCAAGAAAAAGTGCATACAGCTACAGCTGAGAGTCCTAATTCTGACATGTGAGTTGCCCGAGGAAACTATAGGTGGGAGGGGAAGGGGGGCTGCTTATTCGTTTGAGTTTCTAGGCCTCATTTGTAACTGTACTCTTTTGAGGAAGTGCGCGCGTAAGAATCGCGCGGTTGCTCTAATCAGCATCTGCAGGAGGCTGCGCCCCCCCCCTCCGCCCTCTCTACCACCGGTGCATACACCATCACCATCCATACACTCACTGCCACTGTTGCCAAAACTATCGATGGTTTCAAATTATCGGATTTCACCTCTCGCCGATGGAGCTTCTGAATCACACGGTTTGAGACCTCGAAAAATCATTGAACGCAAGAACTTTTCCCCCGAATTTCCAAATTCTCGAAAGTTGAGCTCCCTCGAAATAATGCCTCTAGGCGATGCCGAGGTGAATACTGACGATTATAACAAATCAAGAAGACCGAGGAACTTCATGATACACAAAGAATTAACAACAGCGATAACATTTAAGGGAAAGATAATGGGGGAACTTACCAATGTAAATACCACAACAGTAGGTTTAAAACTTAGAGTGTAAACACATAGGCCTTCGGCTGCAATTCTGTCAAACTTTAGTTCCACCATGTAATATACCAATAAAATACCTTTTGTTCAAAACAAAAAAAAAAGTTCTCGAAAGTTAGGGTGACCTTAGTCATGGGAAGCATCACAAAGTCAGGGGCAAAGACCAAGATGACCAAAAATTCAGGGCAAAAGCAGTTACATTTTCCGACTGAAAGTACAGAGGAGGCAGAGGCAGTGAGGAGGTTACACACTTTACCTACCATTTCGCCTTCAGTTTTCGAGGTAGGCAAGATAAGATCCTTCGTGCAGAGATAGGCATATGCGAGGATATGTGCCATGCATTGCTATACTAGCGCTCCGTAATGAATTATGCCAAACTCCTTTCGACGATTTTGAAGATATCTGTTTTTCTGGTTGAGTCTCTTTGTTTGAAGAGAAACGTGAACTGTAAAAATTATAGTGCACTTCTTATTTTCATTTGGGGAGCGTTTCTCGCAGGTGAATGGGTATAGATATAGCTGTATCCAAGAAGATAGAGGTTGTCGTGAACCATAGACATGACGATAATCATGGATACAGCCTTAAAGCATTGTCAAAAAGGTCACAGGACGTGCTTGTTACTGTATACCTACCGTTAAACCCATTTATAGACATGGTAGTATTGGTAGTTGCCATGGCTACAGCGAAATTTCCGGAAATCCACAAAGAATTCATTTCACAAGTGAATGAATTGACACACACGAACTGATGTCATTAAGGAGGATATTATTAACCCATGCATAGAATAGGGAATTTGCGCGACAATTTTTTTTGCATCATCTGAGAGTGCTTTACAAGCCAAGTTCAGAGTATTTCTTATAATTTTTTTCAGATAAGAAAAATTGTAGAAGAATACATTAAAAAGTGAGGAAATGTACCGCCGTTTAACGTCATTATTTCTCGTTTAAACACATATATTTCAGCAGATTCGATCATTCGATCATATTTCCTTAAATAATTGTTCCAATTAGAAACCAAGAATATTCTTTTGCTCAATTGAGTCAGTAGTTTCCATTTAAATATGAAATTCATCAAATTTTAGACACCTGTTAATTCTCCATTTTGTACGTCGAAGAAGAAAGGGGCAAAAAGAAAAAAGAGAGGAGGGGGGGGGGGTTGTGAGAGAGGACATCCGGAAACATTTTAACTTTTTTTTATATTCATTTCTGTTTTCTATGAAACAATCCTGCAGGTGTCATTTCACCAAAGTCGTATGTCCCCTCTGTGTTCCGTAATACATAACTGCAACGAGGAGTTCTGGGATTCAATCCGACATCCCTGCACAAGTCGTGGTTCGACCGGCGCGTTTCGAATTGTAAATTACCGTAATGACCAGGGACATTATAGACAGCACGGCGGTCGGCCACGCTGAAAGAAAACCCGGCGTTTCATGCAGTCTTAATGCACTTACGCAGTCACTATGACTCTTATTGAGGGCTCGCGCAAGTGGTGGCCTCGGCTTTGCCACAATTTTTTTTTATTTTTTATGATATTTTTTTTTATCTCAACCTTCCCACAATAATATGAAATGCGTCAGAGTGGTTGAACTTTCTTTCGTCGACAAAAATCACACACAAAAAGTAAAAGTTCAAAGAACTCATACACATACTTTCATTTCAAGAGTGTCCCGATTTACAGCCGCAGCTTTTGATCTCGATTTAGGTTAGGTTAGGTTAGGCCCCAAAAATTAGGCAAGTAGCAACGAGGTAAAGAACCAGGACCTTCTCAAAATTATTATCAAGACTAAATCAGATCTAGTGCACCGGAGCTTTCGCCTGGTACTGATCATAGTGAACGTGGATGACGGTGTTCCTCGACACAAAAACTTTGTTATAATGATTCCTTGTAGTCATATAACACTGTACTTAATACTTGATACATGTACATAACACTTGACATTGTATGTTCCGATAAAAAGTTAAACATTGTCTCAGCGAAGAAAAAGCAACAGGGTAAAGAACCAGGACCTTCTCAAAATTATTATCTGGACTAAATCAGATCTAGTGCACTGGAGCTTTTGCCTGGTACTGATCAAAGTGAACGTGGAAGACGGTGTTTCTTGACACAAAAACTTTACTATCGTCATATAACCCTATACTTAATACTTTATACATGTGCATAATACTTGACAATGTATGATCCAATAAAAATTTGAAAATTTTCTCAGCGAAGAAAGTTGCCATTGAGTCCTTCGAGCCTCATAATTTGCACAAAAAATAAAACAAAATCTTGCAGATTTTCTACACTCAATTTAACACTTAAACCAAATACGAATGGTATTCTGCTCAAAATTATTCATGGAACAAGAATAAATCACTCCTCTAGTAACATGCATTCAATATTCCATAATAAGCATGGATGAAATTTGAAAGACTCCGGAATAGAAATAGTTCATAGGTGTATCACGCATTTTAGTTTAGTTTGTTGTCCGAAGAACGACTTACTTTTGTTGTAATCTTCGTATTTTTAAAGACCATCACAGTGAAAGGTCCAGTAACTTTTAGTTTATTTAACTTCCCACAGAGAAATATTTTGATATTGACATTGAGAGTAGTTGCAAAAGCTAGAACGCAGCCTCGCTCTTGCGTTCGTATCTAAATAATTGGAAGCGGTACCGAGAACGCAAGTTCGCCTTCAACTCGATGAATACAATTTGAGCGGCTCTGGAGTTGAAACAGTTGTATCACGGATTATGGTTTAGCATGATGTCCAGGGATGATTGCCTTTCCTTGAAATATTCGTGTTTTCATGACCAAAGAAACAAAGTGTCCAATTACTTATACCCGATTCTCTCTAAAGAAAAATATGTTCATATTGACTATGTGATAAGTTGCGTAAGTTAGAATTTAGCCCCTCTTTCCATCGGAAAAAAGTCTCTTGGATACAGAGTCCAGATCTTAGAAAATTTAACAAGAAGAAATACTCATGCTTCAATCGGATTTTTGCTTGAATCGAAAGTCGAGTCACTTATTCTAATCGAATTGTCTTTCGATTCATAGTCCAGGCAGTAAAGGATTTTACCTTGCAAAAAGGTGAAATCTGATTATGATTGATTCCTATATAATTTTTCACGCTGAATCCGAAGTTTTGGTTTCCCAACAAATTTTCCTTGTGTAAACTCCGGAAAATCGGAAAAACCGCGAAAAATCACGTTTTCCCGCGGTTTTCCCGAGATATCTCTTTTTCCAGCGCGATATATCGAGAAAATAGTTATTTTCATTACTAAAGCTGATAAAATTTCCTATCAAAATGATCTGAACATTTTTTTATAGGCTCATTAGGGAGAGTGCTGGAGCCGTGGAAAGCTCTAGAAACTCGTAAAATCGCGATTTTCCACGGTTTTTCGCCATTTTGGTGAAATAAATTGGTTCTTTCGCAAAATTTCAGCATAGTATTACCTCAAGCAAGAATCCGATTGAATCAATATGATTTTTTCTCGTTAATTTTTTAAGAGTTTAAACTTTAGATCCAAGAGACTTTTCATCTCAGTGCTTGAATGAACCGACCCAAACCCAGCGTTGCCACCTCGTGAGAATCCTGTTCGGTGTGCTTTCTGGCAACGTCGCCTATGTATGGAAGCGTTGTAACTTTCTG